TGTGTCAATTAAATGTCTGGCGACTGCACTCGATAACACTTTTCTTTCTTTTTTATGGAGACTCTTAAGAATATGCTCAGAAATCTAGTAGATGCTGTCCTCTCAGTCCTTCCTATGTACTTACTTCCGCAAGTGCAAGTGAATTGCTAAATGCAGTTGGAGTTGACGTGAGTAGGGTACTCATCTACTTTTGACTGGGTTAACGAGCACACAGTGTTGTGAAATAGGATCAGTCTGGCGGCTGGAAACGTTCTTTTTAATGCACCTGTGATTCTTTTTTGTGTTCTTGTGGATACGTCTTCCACTTTGTACGCTAGGCAGATGAAAACTGATTTCTTTTCAACGGTGTCAGGTTTCGGTTTGTGTGCTTCTTCATTTCTATACTTTAATATGAACTTTCGGGGATATCCGTTCTCGATAAGGTTCTTTTCGATGACCACGAGTTCTTCTTCAATCTTGTCTTCTGAACATATTTCTTTGGCTCTGCTGAAGAGCGTTTTTACTAGACATCGTTTGTAACTGGTTGGGCAAAAGCTATGATAATGTAGGTATTGACCAGTCCAAGTTTCTTTCCTGTAGACAGATTTTTGAATTGTCCCATCGTTTCTTCTTTTTATGTTGACATCTAGGAAATGGAACTGGTTGTTTCTTTCGTAGTCCATTGTGAATGCAATGATGCGATGAGCCGCATTGAGTTTCTCAAACACTGCGGACGCGTGTTCTATATCATTGCAGACCACAAACGTGTCATCGACATATATGCAGTAATAAGTGGTTCTTTCTGTTTCTTCTTTCACTCGAGTCTGTTCAAGATGAGCCATGAATATGTCAGCAAGAACAGGACCTAGAGGTGAACCCATAGCCACCCCACCAATCTGCCGGTACAGCTGATTGTTGAATCGGAATTGAATATGCTTTGTACATAGAAGTAGCAATTTGCGTAGCTCATTTTCTGGAAGAGGGAGCATTTCGAACTGCTGGCATATGATTTCTACCGTTTCTTCGATGGGTATGCTGGTAAACAGTGAACAAACGTCGTATGACACGAGAAGTCTATCTGAAATGTCGAGTTTATCTAATTCTTGTGAAAACTGGAAAGAATCTTTGATACTGTGGGCTGCCAGCTTTTGCCGAATGGGTTCCAGCTTTTGGGCCAACCATCTGGCCAGTTTATGGCATGGTGATTTCACCATTGATATTATAGGTCTCAATGGTACATCGCTTTCGTGGACTTTGGGTTGACCGTACATGAATGGTACCCACGAACACCTTGGTTTAAGGTCGTTGTAAGTGCTGTTGTCTATAAGCCCTTCTTTAAGTAGTCCATTGAGGTGCTTGTTTACTTTATTTTCGAAGGCCGCTGTTGTTGTGGAAATCAGCCAAGCCTGCAAAATAATCAATACACAAAGAAACCCACGGCTACTTCGCTTCGCAGAAGCCATTGCTATCAAGAGATTTCGACCAGACCTCTGTATACAGAAAGATAGTGTGATTAATCTTTCACTACCTTGGTAACCCTAACTCTATTTTATTTTATTTTTGTTTTACCTTTCTGTCAGTATGCCTGTGTGTTTGTCTTGTTACGTAACATTCTATTCAATTTTGACCTTCAAGTTTCTAAATCTACTTAATTGTTTGTCTGTTTAAGTTATAAATGTTACTTCACTACTCACCCCCACCCTCTTAAACTCTCCACCACAAGATGTGTAAATTTACTTTGTTCTCTGACCCTGACCCTGTAATATGCCTCTAACCAATCTGTGTTGTTTTCCAATAGAAA